CCTCCCCAGCCACTAGAAATCACAAGTGGTTTTTTTTTTTTTTTTGCTTTCTCCATAACTTTGTCTATTCTAGAATGCCATACACTTGTTTTTATTTTTTTGTTTGCTTATCTTTATTTTTAGAATGCCATATATATATATTTTTTATTTTGGTCTTTTTGAGACAGGGTCTCCCTGTAGCTCCAGCTGTCCTGGAACTCACTATGTAGACCAGGCTGGCCTTGAACTCCATATTTTTTATATTTTATTATTTTTATTTTATGTGTATAAATATATTGCCTGCATGTATGTGAGTGCACCTGTGTCGTGCAATGCCTCAGAGGTCAGAAAAGGGCTTCAGATTCCCCTGGAACTGGAGTTAAGGACAGTTTGTAGCCGCCATGTGGGTGCTGGGAATTGAACCTGAGTCCTCTGCAAGAGCAGTCAGTGCTCTTAACCTCTGAGCCATCTCTCCAGTCCCCAGAATGGCATACATTTAAGATACATTCCAGATTGACTTTTACCTAGCAATGTGCATTTAAGAAATTTCACTCTTGCCAGGCATGATGGTGCATGCCTTTAAATCCCAGCAGATCTCTTTTGAGATCAAGACCACCCTGGTCTATATAGGAGTTCCAGGTCAGCTGAGGCTACAGGGAGACCCTTTCTTAGATCCTAAAAAGAGCAGAGTCCTCCCTCTCCTAGAGATTGGTCCACTGCACAATGTGCATTGGAGTATGTGGCTTAAGGAATTCCACAGGGTCCTGAGACTTCTGAGAAGTGACACAGGCCACAATGTAGCCACAGGTCAGGGACCCTGGGCCAGCAGCAGAGTGGTTTGTTCCTTACAGTGTTTTTCTAAAATCTGATCCTTAATTGTGAAGATTTACATAAAAATTCTTATCTAGGGCTTTGAGAATTAAGAAAGGAAAACACCCTGCCCAATCCTACTGTGGCCTCTCTGGCTGGCACTGAGCCTCTCCTGCCCCTTCCCAAGGGATGGCTGTTATCTCTTACCCAGCTAGCTTCTGAAGTGTTCAGACTTCTTGAGGGAGAGAAGCAGCATTCCTGACTTCTATACTTCGCTCTTTCTGCCACTAGAGGATGACAACAGTAGCTGGTGGCTACTTTCTCCTATGAGAGGTTACCACTGGCATCACAAACACAATTAATGCCCGTAATCAGTCCTTTCAGAGCAGCTTGCCACTTGGGGACACATAGTGGAACATCTCTCCACAGATACAGATGCAATAAAAGACCTACCAGAGACTTTTTCCAAGAGGAAACTTTCTCCAGCACCTGCAGTTCTTAGGTGATATTTGTTGAATGAATCATAAACAAAGCTCCAAGTACAGTGTCAAGTGTATAGTGAGGGCTTATTAGGTGTCTGTTCCCTTGCCAATAGTAACCTGTCTTTAATATTGTGAATATTGCAACCTTGTATACGTCTCTTAGAGTTCCTACCAAAACATACGATATTTTTGGTCTTTTTGAGACAGGGTCTCCCTGTAGCCCCAGCTGTCCTGGAACTCACTATGTAGACCAGGCTGGCCTTGAACTCACAGAGATCTGCCTGCCTCTGCCTCTGGGATTAAAGGCGTGTGCTACCACGCCCGGCAAAACATAATGATTTTTATAAAAGATAAGAAATAAAAAGGAACAGAGACATACCTTTTTTTTTTTTTTTCCTGATGTTGGGGTTTGAATTTAGGACCTCCTGTATGCTAGGAAGGTGCTCTACCACTAAGCTATATCCCCAGTTCTGACATATCTTTCTTACCTGTCAGAGCAGCAAAATTAAAAGTACTGTTAAAACCTAGTATTGGACCTGGGTGTGGTGGCACACATCTTTAATTCCAGCACTTGAGAGGCAGAAGTAGGTGGGATCTATGTGAGATTGAGGCCAGCCTGGTTTACACAGTGAGTTCTAGGCCAGCTAGGGATACAGTGAGAGCCTGTCTCAAAAAGACCAAAATAAAAACAAAAAACAATGTTGGCATGCTCTATCCTATACTGTTGAGGGAGGACAAGCTGAGCTAACCTTTCCAGAGGGTAGTTTGGCAATGTTTATCAAAATTTAAAATATACATATCTTTAGGAATTATTCCCAGAGAGATACTCAGACATGGGTATTAAGTTAGGATAAAGCATACTGTTTGTGGCTGTGAACAGCCCTCAAGTCTCAGTGAAGCGACACACATCTCACATCCCCAGAGAGGCCTTGCCTCTTTCCATGGCCCTGGCCTCTAGAGATGATTGTTTTGTTGTCTATTCTCCAGGAAGGTTGTCTCTATATAGACCAAGCTGTTCTTGAATTTGAGTTCCTCCTGCCTCACCCTTCGTAGTGCTGAGATTACAGCCTGTACCAGCGCACATGGCCTGGAAACATGATGAGCAGGGCAGGAGAAGGACATGTTGGGAATGAAGGGCTAGCCTTTAAAGTTTACAGCCATTCTGTCTCATTTTAAGGAAAATGACCAAAGCATCAAGAGGCTGTGTCCAATACAAAGAGTGAAAAAATACAGTCCTGCTACTTGACCAGAAGGGTTACTTGAGCACTTATGAGCTGCCTCGGTGGCCTCTTGAAGAATTAAAATGCTTGTCTACCATATCTGTTAGAGTTGCTGTCCTGTGCAGGTCACAGAAAATCATGGCAAATGGCTTAAATAATCAGTTTTTCCTGAGTGGCATCTAGATGGAGTCATCTAGGTTAACATAGCTGTTTTAGGAGGTCCTTAAGAACCCAGGTCCACCTTGTCCTCTCTTGTTCGTTTTTATCCTAATGTTCACTATATGGCTGTTCAACTTCCAACAGTTGTATCTGAGTTTCAGCAGAGAAGAGCTTTGTTAGGTTTTTTTTTTTTTTTTTTTTTTTGATGAGGGGTACGTTTGAGATAGGGTGTCATTATGTAGCCCTGGCTGACCTGGAATTCACTATGTAGACCAGGCTGGCCTCAGACTCACAGAGAGCTACCTGCCTCTGCTTCCTGAGTGCTGGAGTTTTATCTAGAAATTTTCTATTTAGAGTTAATTAGCCAGAACTAGGACATTATCTCCCCCCAATGCAGGAGAATTTGGAAATTTGGTGAATTTTTTTTATTTTTTAAATCAGAGACTTTGCTGTACTGAACAAAATTGACATTATATATAATGGGGGCTGGAGAGACGACTGAGCACTTAAGAGCACTTGATGCTTTTGCAGAGCAACTGGATTTGGTTCCCAGCACCCACATGGCTGCTAACAATCATATATAACTCCAGTTCTAAGGGATCCAATGCTCTCTTCTGGCCTCAGCAGGCACTGCATGCACACAGTACACATACATACATGCAAGTAAAACACTCATAAACATAAAATTAAAAAAATCTTCAAAGTTATATATAATGCTGACATTAGAAACAGGCAAATCGAAATCTCTTTTAAAATGTTTTCTCAAGGTATACATGCAGTAGAATTTGCAATTTGAACTCTCAAACTTGATGAATGTTTGCATATGTGTAACCATCACTCAAATAAAGATATATAACATCTTTAGCCCTCCAGAATATGTCCTGTGCCCTTTCTTAGACAACCCCCACCAGAGATGACCACTCTTACAGTGATGTCACCACAGATTGCCTTTGCCAGCCTCTGAACTTCATATACATAGAATGACACTATGTACTAATTGTGTCTGATGTCTTTGGCTCAGCTGTATGCTGGGGAGTCAGAGACAGGAAGATCCCTGGGGTTCCCTGGCCAGCCAGTCTCGCTGAGTCTAAGAGCTCCAGGTTCAGTCTCAAAAAATAAGGTGGAGAGAGATAGAGGAAGACACCTGATGTCTGCCTGCCTGTGATCGCCACACACATATGAACATGTACACACACAAATAAACAACATAGAATAATACATCTAGCCTAAAAAGATGTCATTCATATATTATTAAATTTTTAAAAGGTGAGCTGGAGAGATGGCTTAGTAGTTAAGAATACTGACTGCTCTTGCAGAGGACCTGGGTTCGATTCCCAGCATCCACATGGCAACTAACTGTAACTCTAGTTCTGGGGGGTTCCAGTGCCTTCTTCTGACCTCCTTGGGCATTGCATGACACAGGTGCACTTATACACATAAAGTTAAAATAATTAAAAAATTTTAAAAGGTTACATGAGCTTGTTTTATATAAATGAATGCATTTATAGAAATGTGTCTGCAGGGCTGGAGAGATGGTTCGGCATGAAGAGCATGTACCGCTCTTTTGGAGGACCTGAGTGCAGTTCCCAGCACCTACATTTGATGGCTCACAACGGCTATAACTCCAGCTCCAGGGGATCTGATGCCTCTGGCCTCCTTGGGCACCACCACACACACACACACACATACACACACACACACACACACACACAATTGAAATAATAAAAAATTTTAAAATGCATATGTATAATTTGTATGGTTGTAGAAAAAATTGAAATATTATTGAATATGTTGCCACGAATTTTTCTTCCTAGGTGTTTGGATTAATGTAGCTCCAATTTACATTCTTATTTTTGGTTGAATAGCTTGAAACTTTTAATTTTGGAATACTTTTAAATTTATGGAAAAATTACAAGAATACAAAGATTTCCTGAAATACAGTCATCTCTGGTGATGCTTTTTTAGTGTCAGCAACTGTATTTTGTTTTTATGCTTCTTTGACTGTTTGAATTTTTTTTTCTTTTTCATCTTTTTGAAACAGGGTTTCCCTGTAGCCCCAGCTGGCCTGGAACTTGCTATGTAGACCAGGCTGGCCTTGAACTCACAGAGCTCCACCTGCCTCTGCCTTCCCAGTGCTGGGATTAAAGGTGTGCACCACCATACTTGGCTGTTTGAATTTTTTATGACAAGTAGATAACATTTTTATTAAAAAAAATCACAAAATACCTTTTATTTAGCAAATAAAACAAAGTGGGACAGGGCCAGATGAATACAAAGCTTAATGCTTCAAAGCCTAGCCTGCCTAGAGTATCTGGGTTTAACCTTTTGCTTATGTCTCTTGATGTGTCAGGGCAGCTGTGAAATCCTGCGGATGATCAACCTCGGGACCTCCCCTTCCTATTACAACTGGGTCTGGCAGCATCTGAAGCTGCTGGACCACATGCCTGTGACGGTTCACCTCAATGGTAAGCCAGATGGCCACATATGGCATGTGACAGCACAGCTGGCAGGGAGAGGTGGGTATATCCTGGGCCTCATCCTGGTTCCAGTTCCCAGCCCATAGAATCTTTGACATCTTGAGCTCAAATGGCAAACAAGATGTCTGGTTTGGTCCCATCTTGTACCAGCAGTAGGAAACTGGCACACAGGCCCTGCCTCCTGCCTAGGCTCCTCCCTTCCCCTCTGTGGATTCTGCTGTGTGAGCATCTACTTCTTGCATTGTACATACCTACCACCACCTCCACCCCCCTACCCCCCCACCCCCCCTTTCCTCCAGCTCTCTTCTGCTTTTTTATTTATTTTTATTTTTATGCATATGTGTGTATTGCCTGCATGTAGGTAAGTACACCCATGTCGTGCAGTGCCCGTGGAAGACAGATCCCCTGTTGGATCCCCTGGAACTGGAGTTACGGACAGTTGTTAGCTGCCATGTGGGTTCTAGGATTCGAATCCGGGTCTTCTGCAAGAACAGCCAGTGTTCTTAACTACTGAGCCATCTCTCCAGCCCCTCTTCTGCTTTTTACATCTTGGACTAAGCATCCTCTTCTCAGAGAATTCTCTCTGGCTTCGTATGCTGGCTCAGCACCTTCCATTCCTTATTAAATGCCATTCATACGTGCTGTATTTCTCTTCTGTTGTGTCCAGCCCAACTGAAATCATATAATTGACTCTGAACTGGTTATTAAATAGCTGTCTTCCTAAAATTTAAGCTCTGTGTTCCTAGGCTCTGTCCATCCCTGGCATCTTGTGACTACTCACAAGTGACTCAGAGTCAATGGACACTCATATCTTAGCTACTAAGGGTGGCTTTGGATAAGTCCCAAGATGTGACTATATCCCTGTGCTCTCTAGAGCCTATCTACACTCATATACATGTTCTGAGTAACTGTTACCATTCATTGAATTCTTATTTATTTTTATGTGTATGAGTGTTTTGCCTACATGTATATAAGTGTACCCATCTGGTACATTGCCCACAGAGGCCAGAAGATGGTGTCAGATACCCTGGAACAGGACTTATAGACAGTTGTGAGCCGCCATGTAAGTGCTGGAAACTGAACCTGAGTCCTCTACAAGAGCAGCCAGTGCTCTTAACCACTGAGCCATCTCTCCAGCACTATTCATTGAATTCTGAAGTCACATAAGAACTTTTCAATAAGATATGATTGTAGCTCCATTTTACATTTAGAGAAACTGAGGCTAGGAGAGATGGATCTATTGTCTAAGGGTCATAGAGATACCAAATAGTAATATAGTAACTCCAGAGAACAGTCCCAGTTGCTTCTAAAGCCCAGAGTTTTCCTATTCATAAAAGTCTCCTGCCTTCCTCATTCTCCTTTTCCTGCTGTTGGACACATTGTCAGATAACAGCCCCTAGAAGCAGTGTTGTCTCTCTATGAGGGGCGGGGAGGGAGAGGGAGGAGAGGGAAGGGGGAGAGACAGAGACAGAGACAGACACTTGGCACAAGAACCCTAGCTCTGACAAATGTGTGTCTTACCAGGTACTGGCATTAATGTGCTTCCTTTCATCAGTTCCTTGAGATATAATCTAGTAATTATGAGCCCTTGCAAGGATCACTTTGTGGATGTAGTAAATCTTTCTGAGATTAGAAGTGAGAACATGGGGTCAGGGGCACAGGAGAAAGGGGGCGGTGAAAGACAGCTGATTCTGTCCCACTTAGTAACTGAGTGCTGCTGGTTAGTGCTTAGGTCTCTGGGCCTGGCTTCTTCATAGCTCTCACAGATAGTGTCAAGATTAAGAGCCTCGACTCAAAGCCACCTTCCATGTGTTTGGATACAGGATCTTGTCTAATGCTGAACAAATGATGATGTTCCTGTATATCAGTGTCCTCAGGACTGTGAAATGTGAATCATGGTCCCTATATCATAGGATTGTTGGGACATTAAGTAAATGAACACATAAAACTCATAGCAGACTCCCTGGATGCACGAATGTATGGTAGATGCTTGTCATCACTGGCTAGGCAGGCTGGAAGGGACGGTGCACGTGGAGCCTGCTAAATCCTCAGTAACGTCACTCTCATATACCCCCACCTTCCACTGCTCATCCACCAGGTAAAAAGCTCTTTTCCACAAATTTGGGTAGGTTGTTTTTCCATTGTCATTCAGCTCAAAATACTTTTAAGTTTCTCTTTTTATTCCTTCTTTGACCCAATGGATATTAATAAGGATACTATTTAGTTCCCAAAGATTTGGGGACTATCCAAGCTATCTTTTTGTTTATTAGTTCTATGATAAAATGCTTGGTACAGTTTGAATTCTCTCAAATGTGTTGAAACTTGTTTTATGCCCAGAGTGTAGTCTATCTTGGTAAATGCTCCATTTGCATTTGAAAAGAATATGCTGTCATTTGGTACAGTGTGCTGTGAATGCTAATCAGGTGAGGTTGCTAGTGTTGGTCAAGTAATCTGTGTCCTTCCTGAGTTTTCTATTTGCTCTATCAATTGTTAATACAGAGCTGTGGACTCTCCAACTATAATTTTAACTATTCTCTCCCTCCCTCCCTCCCTCCTCTCTCTCTACTTCCCCCCACCCATCTCATTGTATAGCCCAGTCTTACCTAGGCTGACCTTGATCTCAAGATCTATTGCTTCAGCATCCCAGGGGCTGGATTGCAGGTGTGTGCCACCATGCCTGGCTCTCCTTGTGTTTCTGTTTTTTGCTTCGTGTGTTTGATAGCTGTTTTATTAGGGGAATGGATGTTTAGGATTAAACTCTTCATGATGAGAAAATGAACTATTTAAAAAAATATTTATTATTTTTATTTTATGTGTATGAGTGTATTGCCTGCATGTATGTGAGTGCACCCGTGTCGTGCAATTCCTCAGAGGTTAGAAGAGGGCTTTGGATTCCCCTGGAACTGGAGTTAAGGACAGTTCGTAGCCACCGTGTGGGTGCTGGGAATTGAATCTGGGTCCTCTGCAAGAGCAGTCAGTGCTCTTAACCTCTGAGCTATCTCTTCAGCCCCTGAAAATGAACTATTTTTGAGGTGCTAGAGCTTGAACCCCAGGATTTGTACATGTCAGACAAGTGCTCTACCACTGAGCTACATTCACAGCCTACAATGACCTTTGTCCCTGGAGGGATCTTGACTTTAAAATCTACTTTTTCTGATATTAATTTAGCCATTTCTTTTTATTTATTTATTTATTTATTTATCTTATTTTTTTTAATCTTACGTGTATGCGTGTATTGCCTGCATGTCGGTAAGTGCACCCATGTCATGCAGTGCCCTCGGAGGTCAGAAGAGGCTGTCGGATCCCCTGGGACTGGAGTTATGGACAGTTGTTAGCTGCCATGTGGGTGCTAGGATTGAACCCGGGTCTTCTGCAAGAACAGTGTTCTTAACTGCTGAGCCATCTCTCAAGCCCCTTATTTTTATTTATCTATTTTTTATGTGTATGAGTGTCTATCTTCTGACTTTTCAACATGATAACATTATTAACATTCCTATTTTTGTATAATCTCTCTGTATAACTTTGTATATCCTCTGTACACCATGCCTTTTAGCTCTGGATGGTTTAAATTTTTCTTTCAGTAACTTTTTTTATGTATATGTGTGTGCAGATGCATGTGCCTACATGCTTGTGTGTGTGTGTGTGTGTGTGTGTGTGCGCGCGCGCGCGCGCGTGCACGTGCATGCGTGCGCATACATGCATGTGGAGGCCAGAGGTCAACATCAGGTGCCTTCCACCTTATTGTTAGAGGCAAGGTCTCTCCCTGAACCTGGAGCTCAGCAGTTTGGTTAGACTGGCTGGCTAGCAAACATCAAGAATCCTCCTATTTCCACATCCTCAACTCTGAGATTACAGGTAGGTGCTGGTGTGTGTGTGTGTGTGTGTGTGTGTGTGTGTGTGTGTGTGTACGTGCCACAGTGTACATGTGGAAGTCATACGACATTTCCTGTCAGTCCTTGTCTTCCACCTTGAGTTTGGGTCTCTTGTTTGCTTCTGGGTATGCTAGGCTGCTGGCCTGGTGATCTTCCAAAGATTCTCCTGTCTACCTCCCATCATGGCATAGAGGTGCTGAGATTACAGACACACACTAGCTCATCTAGCTTTCCATGGTTTCTAAGGGTCTAAACTCAGGCCTTCGTGCATGCATGGCAAGTTCCTAACCCATCTCCCTAGCCCTCTCTCAGTAGTTTTGAATGATTTGATTATGTTGTGCCTTGCCTTAGTTTTTAAATCATGTTTCTAATTTGAGTTCATTTAGTTTCTTGGATATGTGGATTTATTTTTTTAATTAGATTTAGAATTTGTGGAACATTACTTTTTCAAGTACTTTTCTATTGTCCATTCTGGAGCCTCCAGTTGCCTGTGTGTTGTACTACCTGAAGTTCTTTCTCAATTCTAGTGTCCTGCTTCAGCTGTGTACTGATTTAATTAGATGATTGATCTTACTGTTTGATTTTCATGGCCTATATTAAGTGTACATATACACAGGTATATTTTCATATGAGTGTGTAATGTACTTTGAACATATCCCCCCACTGCTCCCCTACATTAGTCTCCTCTGTTCCCCTAGACAATTTTGCTTTTATTTTCTTAAAATATTTTATTATTGGGGGCTGGAGAGATGGCTCAGCAGTTAAGAACACTGGTTGTTCTTGCAGAAGACCTGGGTTCGAATGCCAGCACCCACATGACAGCTAACAACTGTCCGTAACTCCAGTCCCAGGGGATCCAACAGCCTCTTCTGACCTCCGCAGGCATTGCACGACACAAGTGCACTTACCTACATTCAGGCAATACACGCATACACATAAAATTTAAAAAAAAAAATAATTTTTTTTAAAAAAAGAGAAAATGTGATATTTGTCTTTGTGTGTGTACCTATGTGCATGGGTTTACATACATGCATGTGTGTGCACATGCATGTAGAGGATAGAGATTATCTCAGGTGTCTTCGTCCATTGTATCCACCTTGTTTTTTTATTTATTTATTTATTTTGGTCTTTTTGAGACAGGGTCTCCCTGTAGTCCCAGCAGGCCTG